TTGTGATTCAAACCAACTTTACAATCAGCACATTAGTTCACAGTACCACACCAGGACTCCATATAAATGTATATAATATATGTATACACACACATATGGCCTAGGATAAGCACTGTACTACAAGTCTGTTTGAACTGCAAGGTTGGTGATTTAAACTCACCAGCTGCTCCTTGGAAACCCTATTACAGGATCACTATGAGTCAGAACTGACTCGACAGCATTTAATAACAACAATAAACAATATACATATTTTTTTCTGAGGAGTGTCTGGTGGGTTTGAACTGCTGACTTTGTGGTTCAACCTGACCTTGCGGTCCAGTGCTTTATCCCACAGCACCACAATAGATCTCTCTCTCTATAGATAGCTATTGTTCCAACCCTATACGTGCATGCACACACACACACACACACACACACACACACATATTGTTCTCAAGTGCTGTAAGGTTGGTTACAACTCATAATGACCCTGTTTAGGGTTTCTGAGGAATGCTGGTGGATTTGAATCGCACCCTTGCAGTTAGCAGTCCAGTGTTTATCATACAATGTCACACCTTACCCTACAATGTCACAGGAATATATGTTTGTGTATATATAGTTGTTGTTAAGTGCTGTGGAGCTGGTTCCAACTCATAGTGACCCTGTACAAGGTTTCTGAGGAACAGTTGGTGAGCTTGAATCGCCAACCTTGCAGTTCAAAATGGCCTTGCAGTCCAGCACATCAACCTACATTGTCACAACAAACTCTCCCTTTCTCTCTCGCTCTATATGTATATGTACACACATACACATATATGTCAGAATGTATCAAATGGTATACTTTTTAAGTATATATAGTATGTAGTTCATTATCTATATCCCACAGTAAAAAGAGGTAGCATATGATCAAGAGCATTGAAGGAATTGGCAAAGAACAAGGCACTAGGAATTGATGGAATAAAAATTGAAATCTTTCAAGAAAGTGAGGCGGCACAGGAGGCACTCACTCATCTCTGCCAAGAAATTTGGAAGACAACTATTTGGCCGACTGATTGGAAGAGATCCGTATTTGTGCCCATTCCAAAGAGAAGTGACCCAATGGAATGCAGAAATCATCGGACAATCATCGGACATGACTATAATTGGGTAGTGTTTCGTTCTGTTATGCATAAGGTCGCTAGGAGTCGGTACTGGCTTGATGGCACTTAACAACAACAACAGTAAAACTTAAAAATAAGTAAATTCTAGAACATTCATTGTGATCGTTATTTCTGCACTGCACTCCTATTTAAAATGCTAATTGTGATTCTGAAATATACTGACCCATATCTACTTTAAATATCCATCTCTTTGAATTGTTTTTCAGGCAACTACTCTGCGAGTGAGGAAATTAGAAGAAAATATTGAAGCGGAAAGAGCAGCACATTTGGAATCAAAATTTAACTCTGAAATTATCCAGGTAAGATGTAAACTTTATAATAGATCTTCTCAATCGTAGCATAACATCTGAGAAGAGCAGCAGGCTGCTCATTGTATTTCCTTCTATTCCTGCTTGTTTTTTTAAAATTTTAAAATGAAAATATGTACACAAAACATGCAAGAATATATATATATAATCATTTAAACAACCAAAAGGTACATTCTGCAAACCAGCCTCCTTGCCACCAGCACACAGCCTTTCTCTTTCCATGAGTTTAGAGTCCTCAGCTGCTCTATCTCTCTATGCCATCATCTCTGCATCTGTCTCTGGTGTGTTAAATATATATTTGAAGTATTCTATTACCAAATTTGTTTGAATGCTGTGGCATAAAAATGAGACTGTAGACTCAAGTGCACAAGAATTGACTGGAAATTGTTCATTTGAAGTCTTAATTTTCGTTTGATTAAACTGGTTTACCATTTGTGAATGAGTGTGCTTGTTTTCTGAAAGAGGAAGAAGGAAGCAAGATAGTCAGGAGAAAACGTTTCTGAGATTTGTTATTTGACTTGTTAACAGTGTATTTAGACAAAAACAGCAAAGATAAATAGAGTTGTTGTTGTTAAGTGCCATCGAGTTGGTTCCAACTCATAACGACCGTGTATAGGAGTCCTGATGTGGCACTTAGTATAACTGCTGACTGTAAGACCGGGTTGAACAAGTTCGGTGGTTTAAACTCACCAGCTGCTCCTTGGAAACCCTATGCTGGGTTGTTATGAG